TAGCGCAGATAGCCCTCGTGTAGCTTTGCGCGAAATTCAAAACAAACACACAATACATGAAAATATATTTAGTTAATAACGTCTGCACGTACTTCCTTATGTCACCACGGTAAGCCTAAGATATTCTGTAGTATAATAAGTAAGAATATGTGTTACAGTTCTACTGAACATATAGATCGAATTTGCTAACACTTTTTCTGATGAGGTAAAGGAAAATTATTGGAAGCCATTTATGCATTCAGTTCTATATGGCCTACTTCCAGACTTTTTTGTCTTCTCACTCATAGCTCTATATCCCAAACCATCAAACATGCTTCCTGTCTCTCCTCACTAGTGTTAAACTTGATAAATTTCTTTAAAATCATTCCACGATAATGTCCCTTGCATAATTATTGCAACAACACATGTAGTGAAAATTTTAGAAGTGATGTTGGTATAATATTTATATGAGTATTTAGAAAACACTGTGCTCGTTCACCAATATAGTCATAGTGTTTATTCAACATAACACTGTGGTTAAAACAGATTTTTGTTGTTGTAAATCTTTGTAAGTTTACATAGTTTATACAACTTTAAATTATGATTATATGAGCTGATTAAGCTTTGAGCTCCCCTTACATTTTCATAAAGGTTGTCGACATAAATAGTAGATTTTATATCTAAGTCATAGAAATAACTCCTTTCTGTCACTGCATGAAAGGAGGATTAATAAAGCTACCACTTTAAGAGAATAAAGGGTTGTTGAAATGAGTATTAAACTCCAGTTATTCAGATTATAATTGACACTGTATTCAGAATCTATATTATGTGAAGAAGCCCATCTACAAATATGAAAATCACACATACAATGTACTGCAATTTTAAGCAATCTATTGCATGACTAGATGTATTCAGTCATGATGTTATGGAAACACGTAGGCTAAAAAAATTAGTTAAGGACGAAAATAACTCCAGAATTTTCGAAAGGTAGACTTTTCTTGTCCTTCATGAAGGAAGGTCTATCTTATGAAAGCGATTGGGTTATGGTTGTTGTTTTTGTCTCTAGATGTATTCAGAGATGATGCAAACATCCATGTAGATCTATAGCTAGAACATTTGGCAAAACTTTCATGCCTTTTCTTTAATGGCATATTTGATAGTTGGAATAATATGACCTTGTGGATTTTCTCTACAAAATAATGAGATTTCACAAAAATTTTATACCGCAAATTAGGAATATTTTTCAATTGGGACAGAGTTCAGGACGTGGTGATTAAACAGGAATCCAAGAAGTAAGTTGGTTCATTTCACTTGAAAATAGCCAATCAGCTTTCGCAGTATATCACTTACTTCATTTGTCATTATCCCAACTCACAACAAAAGAATATTGCGTACTTCTATTTGTTGCTAACCTACAAGTCTCCCAAATAGAAAACTGTTGTGTATATCTGTATATTGATACGTCACTATCCAACCAGTCTCTCAAACAGAAAACTGTTGTGTATATCTGTATATTGATACGTCACTTTCCAACCAGTCTCGCAGACAAAAGAATGTTGTGTATACTTCTATTCACTGTTACGTTACTATCCAACCAGTCTCACGGACAAAAGAATGTTACGCATACTTTTATTAACTGTTACGTTGCTAGCCGACCGGCCTCGCAAATAAAATAATGTTGTACATACTTCCATTTACTGTTACGTTGCTAGCCAACCAGTCTCGCAAACAAAACAATATTGTATATACTTCTATTCACTGTTACGTTGCTACCTAACCAGTCATGCAGACAAAAGAATGCTTAAATGCTGTTTACTACTATGTTGCTAACCAACCAGTCTCACAGACGTGCGTGATTTAACTACATCACACTAATCTAAAATACGCTGCTTTTATGATACTTACAAGAAGAAAGCATTTAGTTGTGATGACGAATAAAACTATATTAGTATTTAAATATTTAAATCAAAAACCAAAATCTACCATAACGTCAACACTTAAAGGCAGATATGACATCTGACTCATTTTTATATGCAAAAAGTTCAAAAAAGGTAATATCTGTATATATGGCATTGAAAAGTCCTATGGTGTTTAATAGCATTTGTACAAATGTTATGTCTAAATCTGAAAGTTACTTAACTTAAGGGGCCAAAAGTAGTTAAGTAGATCGTATGCCCAGGCTGTGAATAAGATAGATCATGGTTCGCGACCTGTTGTCGTAAAAACTTACTCAGCACTTGTGAGCGAATTATAAGAGTGACGGTGAAACCCCCACGTTCGGTTAGACAAAAGTAGTCTAAGAGTTGGCGGTAGGTGCTGTTCGCTAGCTGTCTTCCCTCTAATCTATCAGTTAAAAATTATAGGGACGGTAATGCGTAGAATAATCCTCGTGTAACTTTTCGTAAAATTCGGAAACAAACAAACTAATTAACTAAATGTAGGCATAAGTGAAAGAAAGTTCGATTATAAATATCTGCATAAAAATTCTGGACTTACAGGTATCAAAGAACGGTAGTTTAGGCGGTATACCGGTACGACTGTTTATTTCTTCCTGAGTCACAGAAAGTTTCATAAAAAGAAAGTGCCGCTTTGTGGTGAATTGTATCGGTAATTTTGAATTAGTCGGCAGGGATTTGTTTTGTTTACTCTTGATAAGAGGTCCAAAAGCTTTTATCCGGTCCACGTACGTTTTCCTTTGTAAAATTGATTTACCGCTCAGTGTCGGCACTTTTACTGGCCCATGGAAACACATTATGGCACTTAGAGCCATCATAACAGGTTCGTGAGGTACGTTTTGGCTCCTATTTGTTTTGTCGCCCATTCGAAAGATAGAAAAATGTACCTTTAACACTTGAAGTGGATGAAACTTGTCAAACGAAAGTAGCGCAAGATTACCTGAATAAAATTACAATATATTCAATCTTTTAATTCATTTTGTTTGGAGAATCGTTTCTAACGACTTATGCATTTCTATTTTGTATTTATGGCAAAGCTATTAAGGCTTTCGCCCCTATTTTTGAACTATTGACCAATACCCTACCAGCTACTATATACGCTAAGAAATTGACTTTCACTCTTATAACGCACCCACTGCTTTAAGGTGCGGAGAATATTTTGTGGTATCGCACGGGTTTGAACCCAGTTCGTCAGCTCCGAAACACAGAACTTTACCACATACACGTGCAGGGCCAACTCCTGCCCAGATAATTTATGGAAAAAGTATTTTTCACCACTACCGTATTTCCTTCAGGCATTTATTTCGACACCGTTAGTTTCCATTTCACTATTCAAACCAGCAATAATGATATACCAAATTGTCGTATCCAAAAAATCGATATAACACCTTTTTCTTTTCTTTTCAGGGGATGAGTGATATTAAATTACAAATTTTGAGTATTAAAACGAGTATTAAAATTCTTTGAGTCAAATTTGAAAAACATTTGTGATTTTAATTGTGAATGTATGTGTGTTCGAGTCACCGTTGCTCAAACGGTCTTTATAGCTATACAAAAAGTTTGTATGTAAGCGTCTTAAGCACGGACACTCTAAGCACGTGGAGCGCGCGTTAGTTGAAAAAAACGAACTTGAAGACATCGTCTCGCATCGATGACAGGGCAACATAACTTAATACTCGTATTTTTTACATAAATATGATAAAAACTGCTAGAAAGAGGACAAGCCTAATTAACGACGTCCTCGAATAAGACTACCTTACCTCAATTTACACCAGTGACAAAAAATAAACCCATACTCTAATGTTGATCGCATTTCCCTATGCAGTCATGGTTGCACTCGTAAAAAGAAAACTCATAACCAGCATAAATGACAATATTTGAATATATTAAGTACTGTCTATGCAAAGTTAGTACAAACTCTCCACAACCATACACACTGCACGATACTGATTCTTCGTATGTTTGATAGCTACAAAAATAGGCAACATTTTGTTATTCATTCCAATTCTTTTGCTTATTAATACAATAACTGTTCAAACACATTTAGTGAGTATCTTAAGTGTTATTTGCACATGTTAGTCTATGTGTCTATGTTTCAAATGAAGGTTCACACTCTTGTGAGCCATGTTCCAGATACTATCTACAAATCTTCCGTGCTCTCTACTGAACAAAAATGTACACATTATTAATTTTACTCTCATGAAACACAGCTTACATGAGTTTATCAACAACAGTCTCTACTCTGCGGAGTTAAAGAATTGAACATAACTATGCGTTTTATTTGTTTTTCTCGTCCGAAATACCGTTTACATGAGTTTATCAATATTAGTATCTGCTCTGCAAAGTTAAAGTACTGAAAAATAACGCGATATAGAAAAGCTTCGTCTCAAGCACTGTATTGTACATTTCCTAACTTTGTAATAAAAATAGGTTATAGTTTTAAATATGTAACTTATTTTCTCAGAACAAATCCCAATGCTACAGTTTCGAACTGTACCAACTCTCATCAGCCCAGCGAGATCGGTGACAAGTATGAGATCCAAATGAATTTTGTATTTCTGATAGGTCTGAGAAATAACTGATGTAGTTTTTTGTTTTTTACACATACAAACATTTTGTACTCTTTCACTGCTAAATGATTTTTTTATGTTTGCAATCTATCATTACAAGCAACAGCCCTCGGGTTTTGTTCACCTTGCTATGATACAGTTTAAAATGTAAAACATGTTTGCTCACATTATTCATATATCTATCCGTCCTGTAAACCTCCGAGTTGAAGAACACAATACATTTTAAAAAAGGAATTAAATCACAGTCTACTCACCGAATTCAGCGTGATACATCACTTAAATCTTGCAAAGTGAAGATTTTCAGGCACTTCCTGTATCCAAGCGATGCTGTGTGGGACAAGAAATTCATGTCCGGTATAATGTTTGATTTGGAAAGAAAATAACACTGATATCAATGTACTCAACATATATGTGGTACTGAATGACTGAACAATTACATCTAAGTCCGTAACCAAGTAGAACACTAAGAACTACGTGTGTTTAGATAGAAAAAAATATACATTAAGTTTTGAAGACTAAAACATTTCACCTTAGCGTTTTAAACGTATGTTTTGAATAATTGCAATTTTTTGTTTTATTCACCTGCAAAACTTTTACTTTGTTTATTTAATTTTATTAGACAAAAAATGCTAACAATCAATAATTATTACTTGAATATGTTTCTAGTAAGTAGATTAGATTTTGTCACAATTAGTAACTTGGTGTTGTATGTGTTGAAAAATTTAGAAATAATAAAATGTCACGCATTTTGCTGACAAGTTAAACTGTATTATTTGTAAACAAGTTTAAAATTGTTAATAATATTTCTCATCCGGTATATGGTATATGGTTTTATGTTAAACTTTAACTTACTAATCAGTTTTACTTCAGTAATTAAAGTTGATAATAGGGATAAAAGCAGTTCCAGCAAATCATGAACTGAGTCTATTTTGTCTGCTTACCTTTTGCAGTAACAAACGAGTGAAGTAGCGTGGCTCCCTCTAGCAAATAAAAAAAAACAACAAGCAAAGCGAAGGCGGGCTGAAAATGAAGAGAATTCTGCGCGGGAGCACGAACAGCAGCAGAAAAGTGAAAAAAGAACAGGAGCGCATTCACTTCCAGCAGCTTCAGTTACAGCGGTTGGACAGTATCTTGAGAGTCACGGGAAAAGACTAGTAACCGCAAAGTGTAGACCATTTCTAAACAATCTACAGGCAAATCTACACTTTGTACTCCTCCTTTCTCTATTCTTATTGGAGGAATTCTCTGCAGGTTTCCCAGCTGAGACAAAGTGTTTTCACCAATCAACAATCAGTATTAGTAGTAGCCATTGGAGTTGTGTGAAACTGGAATGATGCCAAATTCTCTTAGTGCTTATATTCATGCAAACGTTTCATAATATTCGGTGTTACATTGACAAGTATTACAACAGGCTTCAAAGGGGGGGGGGGGTAAAATATGGCAGTCTTGTTATTACTTTCAAGTTATCATTCCATAAACACGGATAATGAAAATGATAAACTCCTGATTTTATTGTGTCGCACTTCTTTCAACTACGTATAGAGAAACATTTGCGGTATAAAATAGGCTTTTTATCTTTAAATTTTAGTTGCGGGAACTGAGGTGCATGTTATAGAAGCATCAAACTATTGTTATATCCTCGGACAGACGTAGTTCAAGGGGAAAAGTCTAGCTATATTCCCAATGCTAGTATATTGAGGTACATGTTATAGAAGCATCAAACTATTGTTATATCCTCAGACAGACGTAGTACAAGGGGAAAAGTCTAGCTATATTCCCAATGCTAGTATATTGAGGTACATGTTATAGAAGCATCAAACTATTGTTATATCCTCAGACAGACGTAGTACAAGGGGAAAAGTCTAGCTATATTCCCAATGCTAGTATATTGAGGTACATGTTATAGAAGCATCAAACTATTGTTATATCCTCAGACAGACGTAGTTCAAGGGGAAAAGTCTAGCTATATTCCCAATGCTAGTATATTGAGGTACATGTTATAGAAACATCAAACTATTGTTATATCCTCAGAAAGACGTAGTTCAAGGGGAAAAGTCTAGTTATATTCCTATTAAAATATTTAAAGATGTGAAAAGTGTCGAATTACAATGCATTTTTACTGTTTATTTTTCAATTCTTACTTCTATATGAGTGTTATGTGCATTTCTATGTATAAAAGAAATATATGTGAGATATACTACAAAGCTTGATAATTAATATGAGAATATCCGTGCCTTAATATAGAGGTTAAACAACGTGGAACAGTGAGTCACGTCCTACAGTAAATCAAAAGCCATAAATTGGTTGTATTAATTGAAATATATATATTATATGCTTAAGGTTATCATATAGAAAATACAGCGTCTTTTTAAGTATATATTATATGCAGATTAGATAAATGTCAACTGTAAATCTACTTCGCCCTTACTATACGCATACTAACAATGCTACCAAACAGTCACACAATTATAAAACGCGGTCATCACAGTCTGGTTTAACTATATAAGTTACAAGAACATAAATATAAATGTTGTCTAAATAGTAATAGAACTTTACAAGTTAAAAGACTTAACAGATTCGGCCCGGCATGGCCAGGTGATTAAGGTGCTCAACTCGCAATCTGAGGGTCGCGGGTTCTAATCCCCATCGCACCAAACATGCTCACCCTTTCAGCCTTGGGGGCGTTATAATGTGACGGTCAATCCCACTATTCGTTGGTAAAAGAGTAGCCCAAGAGTTGGCGGTGGGTGGTGATGACTAGATGCCTTCCCTCTAGTCTTTCACTGCTAAATTAGGGACGGCTAGCGCAGATATCCCTCGTGTAGCTTCGCGCGAAATTCAAAACAAACAAACAACCAAACTTAACAGATTTGAGTAAAGAAAGTTTTTCGTATTAACATAAAAAAGAACAATCAGCTGTTAATGTGCTACTAAGCTACATGTTAAGCGTTATCGTATCCAGTTATTGTATTCTGTTGGCCACAGAAGGAAGTTTTGTTTTGATAGTCGGTTTCAAAAGAAAAATTACATAATGGCTTTATATATGTATAGGCCTACTAAGCAAAAATATATTATCATACTGTTTCCAAATATACTCACGTTAGAAACATATTTCTCAGACCTTTCCTAGTATTCCAGTTCTTACCAAAGTCTTACGTTAAATGTTGTTATTTTTTGGATATAAAATTGGAACATGTGAAAAATTTGTCAAACAAGAATATCGAAAAAGGCTGGTGCTGACGTTATTAGTTAGGCTTCCGAAACTGATCTTATCAGGTGGTTAGTTTTCAACATTGATCACATTAACCTAATGAAAGTTTCATACGGAGTAGTTCTCTCCTGATATTTAAGTGCTCAAACGTCCTATAAGGTTAAAAGGCTATGTACGATTAAATGAAAGATTAATATAAGATCATTATCTGATAGGGAATACACTGATGTTGATATTTTTAGAAACTTACTTCTTAGCGAACGGGTATTACAGTGAAAGTAAGTCTCTGTAAAACTGGGGGATTATAGTGCTTTGAATAGAAAGTTAGTGTTTTCAGTTTCATTTAATGAAATTGGAAGAACTGACATTAAAATGTTTGAATTCTAGAATATAATTGGGTGTTGATAACATATATATATATATATATTAATGATATACTTAAAAAAAGAGATATTTTCAAGAGTGCTCACGTTATAATGTAACGACACACTTATAAACTAGCCTCTGAATGTAGTTTAGAAAGTTAGATTCGAGAGTGCGAACAGTAGAGGACAGTGTTGTGAAGTACGACCACTCTTGCGTTTGAAAGCGCCCCCACCCATGGCTCAGCGGTTAGTCTGAAAGCTTATAACACTAAAAACTGGGTTTGGATACCCGTGGTGGGCACAGCACAGAGGGTTCATTGTTTAGCTTTGTGGGTAATAACAAAACAAACAAACAAGAATATAGAAACTGTGTTCTAATGATAGCATCTGTAATTATTACACACGATAAAAAAAAATTGAAAATCACTCATTTTGGTAATTTTCATTTTGAGAGATGGAGATTTAAGAATAAGGGTTTATCGTACCAGAGCTAGCATGTATCTGATCAGGTTGATAAACAAAACAAACTTGTATTCAAACAGATAACACCTACAAACTTCAGTTGTTGAGCGTCTCTGTTTATAAAATTAATTGCTGTATCTGTTTTTATATTTGAATCATAAAATTAATTTCGAGAAGGATTTTGAATAAGAATTCTCGAGTTATAAAACCTTAGTTAATAGTAATTACAATCGAACTTAATCTGTATGGTCAAGCTAAAACACTAAAATCATCAGCGTTCAAAATGCTAACTTTAGTATTCAGTGTCTGAAAGTGCTAATGCTAAAGAGACGGTGGTAATAAGTGTTGACGTAAGCAACTTATGTATAATTGTCTGGGAAAATAAGATTTTAAAAATGCTAATAGCGCGAAAGGTTGATGTCCAGTGTTCTATACTGTCAAGTAGTAGTGAATGAGAATCGCCAACTTTCAATTTCAGCAACCGAAACTGTTCACATGAATAATTGGTGTTCAAAACTGTTCACGTTATATTAATGCTTAGAATTTAGAGGAACTTCACGTTGAGACTACTCGCTGAAATGTATCACATTGAAAGGTTGTTTTCTGTAAATATTCTAATATACTGAGGGAAGAGCTCACGCGAAAAAAATTATGTGGGAATGAATTAATGAAGAGAGATAACATCAGGTACAATATTATACACACTAGGTAGATTCAGTGCTAGAACTGAAACTGAATACTTTCAAGTCGAAGATGAATACATATTTTACTCGAGAACTTAAGATTTCAAAATTTAGTGTTCTAGAAAGGTTATGTGTGAATGTGACGATGCTTGGAAATTTATGTCTGTGTCAATTCGAATTAAAAATTATTTATCATTCACTGTATGAATGACGCAAACCCTCCAGAAGAATTCCTTTACAATCAACTAATACCATCCTAACAAAACAAATGCACTTGGAAGATAAGATAAGAACTAAACAGATGGTTCGCAACATCTTAAAGTCTGGAAATATAATTCCGTAATACATAAACACTAGTAAGTTAATGATGAAATGGACGAAAAACAAACATCAATTAAGCCAAAACTTACACTCTTCATTTTTGACAGTTTTCTTGTAAGCTCATGCAGCCAATCTTGAGAGCCCCAAAACTCCTCTGATCCATCAACTGGGGGGCCTCAAATGAAAATTCGAAAATCTAGAAGGAAGTACTTATTCAGAACGATACCTTACATGTCCATGGCAATTTTCGTATAAATCAGTGGATCCAGTCCTGAAAGTACCCCCAAACCCTTTCATCTACACTTGAAGTTTGAGACAGTGGATCCAGTCCTGAAAGTACCCCCAAACCCTTTCATCTACACTTGTTTGAGACAGTGGATCCAGTCCTGAAAGTACCCCCAAACCCTTTCATCTACACTTGTTTGAGACAGTGGATCCAGTCCTGAAAGTACCCCCAAACCCTTTCATCTACACTTGAAGTTTGAGAATTTCCAAAATCTCAATTATATTATTGTTTTTAGAGGTTTCTTATGTGTTGATGCCAGTTTTGAAGTAAGTCGATTCGATCAAACCTGAAAGCCCCTCAAATCTCTTGATCCTCCATTTTTGGGGACCATCTCATGAGTCATTTGAAAGTGATTTTCTTTGGTATATTATATTTGGGTCAAAAGCCAAGGTGCAAAAATTTAATTATTTTGTCAAGATTTGTGTGTGAGGAACTTGAAAATGATAGCAAATTAGCACAGTACGCTTAAAAGTACGACGGAGACTTACAACATGGATGTTCGATGAGTTGTGCCAAATGAAGTGAGACGCGGGGAGTACGTGGAGTAAGTAATACATTCAAACTGAATTGCTTCAACTTTTAGGGAAGAAATTTTAAAACGATTAGAATCTGATGACATCCCAAAGATTACGAAAATAGTTCAGTTATAGAAAACAAGTATTTTGGATATGCACTCAAGAGCATTATTTTATGTGCCTGATGAAAATCCATTGTTCAACCTTCATTGTCAGTGATGCTGTTGTTCGGTGTTTTTACAGTGAATCTATAGATTATTTGTTACACCCTACAATGAAAGCATTATCAGTGACTAGATGGAAAAT